ACGCACGCACGCACGCACGCACGCACGCACGCACACACGCACGGAGGGATATTTATAGCCCAGAGCGAAGCTGTAGCGCGCACAGATAAAGGGCTCGGGACAGAAAGCCGCAGGCGGGACAAGAAGGAGACGCAATGAAACCTTTCTTTTCAGTCTTTCTATTGGGGGCCGCGGTGGTCGCCCTGACCAGCGCGGCGGCCGCCGGGACCGACGCCGGGATCTCCTTCGAGTACCACCGCTACGAGGAGCTGCGGAAGGCGCTGGTTTCCGTGTGGCTGCAGTGTCCCACCATCACCCGCATCTACACCATCGGGGAGAGCTTCGAGGGCCGAGAGCTGCTGGTGCTGGAGATGTCCGACAACCCGGGGACGCACGAGCCTGGTCAGTTKTTACGCACAAAGTGTCTGCTTCACWATRCGGTGATGCGTCCCAGTCTTATCTCAGCATCTGTCTCTGGCACGGAGGAAACCCATCACCATTACATGACACCCAAACAAACACACCACGCACTTTTGGCGCAGAGCTGCTCAAACATTCAGCTCAGCTGAAATGACCAAAACCCTATAAACCCATATAYGAGCGCAGGGGATGCTTTAGTTTCAGGCCCTGCTGCATCCCTTCACAGGACTCTGATGACAGATTGTGGTATCAGCAACGCAAAGCCGCCATTTTGCTGCCTGATAAGGATCTCTGCAAGCTTCAAATCGTGACTCAAGAACAACATCTCAGATGTGGCGGATGCTGCAGCATGAGGGAATCTTTTGGCACACACATTAGACCGATCAAACCTTTAGGCAGTGACATTGTGTTAGAATCTGGATAGTCATCATCTCCATCACACTAAACACCAGGCTTGCAGGAAGCCCCAAAAGTCTCAGGCACATAATAAAAATGTTTTACAATTTTTTTCTCCAAAAACATTAAAGAAAAATCTCAAATAATTTCTATTATGGCTGCACCACTTCATCAGAAAGCTACAAAATACATCCACACACAAATAAATGAAAACAATTAAGACCAGATCTTCAAGTGATAAACCAAACTGAATTTACAACTTTTACTTTTCAGATTTATAAAAGACTTTGAGAGTTACAAACATGTAGTATCTTACCTGCTTCTAGGTAGCTCTTTGAATGACTTAATGGAGAAGCAGCAGTAAATTCTGACAGGAAGGATGAGCTAGTTTGAGCAAAGCCAAGTTCAAATCCATCCTAAAGCAAATTCAGGTTCTCCATATTTTGAGCAGTTCATGCAAACAGTGTTTCATAAACTTTTACATAGTCATGAATTTCTCAGTTTTTCACAGTTTTAGTTTTTTCTTGTACGTGCACCACAAGGTAACACCTTTTGTACTGCTCGTGGCTCTACCAGCAGGAAAATCATTAAATATTATAATCTAATAATAATATGTGATGTCATATTATAACAATACAATCAAAGATCGATCTACAACCGGGCCTGTTGTATCAGTGGTTATCAGCTGGGACATCAGATGAAACATTTTGAACGAAAGAAAAAAAATCAGGTCTTCCTCTAGATCAAGGATAGTCGATTCTGGTCCTCGAGGTCCGCAGCCCTGCACGTTTTGTTTCTCTGCTCCAACCATAGACTTGAATATAGATCACTAGACTGAGCCTCGCCCATACGGTCCACTGGTAGTGTCTGTGACAGCATGGAGGAGCAGAAACAGACCAAACAGGGCAACAGCTCACAGCCTCCATAGAAACTAAAAGATAAACAGCAGCTGAACTGGATCTGTTTCACAAATTATCAGTCACGTTTTTACAATAAATTAATAACTATGTTAATTTCATTCAACAATCATGTAAAACAGCAGATT